TCCCACCCCGCCCCCCATGACCAAATAGGGCGCGGGCCCGGCTGGGGCGGGGCCGGGGCGTGGTCCACAGGGGGCGGGGCCGGGAAAGCGGCCGAACCAGAAGGGGCGTGGCTCTGAGAAGAGGGGGAGAAGCTGAGGGGGAAGGAATGGGGCGTGGTCTCAGAGGGGGAGGGGCGAGGCTCTTCGAACCGAATGAGGCCGAGCCAAGAAGGGGCGGGACGCTCGGAGGCGGGTGAGGGCGTGGCCTGCCAGGCGGGGGCGTGGGCGGTGCTGGATGCTGGGACCGCGGCACCCCTCTTCTCAACCACTGACCGCCAGTGGTCTTTCCTGACATCCGGAAGACAGGCTTTGTTTAGAAGTTTTCGGGTGGGGACTGGAGCGCGTGAGGCAAGCCGCAGGCTGGATTACTGCAGAGGAAGTCACTTAGAGAAGTGTAGAAAGGTCAGATTCTACGTAGGAAGTTCAAAAGTAAACATCACGATCTTCAGACTTCAGTTGCGTCTTCTTTTTTCGACGCATGTGCAGAAACAACTCGTAGAGTGGGTGGTGCGGCTCACAAAACTCTTGGAAACTTTGCACCTATAACCTAGGCCCCTCTCTGCATGGAGTTCGCCGACCTGGCTCAGGACAGCTTATTGTAATCTACTTTTTCGGCAAAAGTCCCTCTTAAGCCAATGTTCCTAAAGAACATTTTGATTCCTCCCAGAACTCTAAAATCATATATGACTGGTGCAAGACTCCTCAACTAATGTCGACGACAACGAGCTGTCTCAGCCTAATCCAGGGCACTTTGAAGATAAGTTAAAAACCTTGGTATGAGAAATACTTTTGACCATTAGCAAAGCTTATCAGTTATAGATTGTAGCGCACCATGCCCGTCCGTGCTCTATGCGCTACCATACAGTTCCCCGGGCAAGGGACTGGAGATTGAAACACACAAAGACACACAGAGACACGGGTCATCCTCGAAACAGTATTGCCCCAAGAAAGCCCCCTTATTGTGTTCAGGGACAGCTTATATAGGGATAGCCATGCCCCAGGCAAACCCACCAGAAATCACTCCCCTGCCATCAGGAACTCCCGAGGGTCTCATGCTCAGAGCAGCTGCAAGCTGTCTCAGAGCAGAAGAAAACAAGATGTTTACAAGAAATTCAGGATCTGGGGGTTCACTGCTCCCAACAATAGATGTGTCCTGATCATGGATGAACTAGCTTGATCTGCTCTTCATTTACAAGACTTACCCGAAGTTGCAATTAGTCAACCAGAAAATACTGGCGTCTACTACAGGCTTAAAATATATATATATATATAGCCTGGTCTACAAAGTGAGTTCCAGGACAGCCAGAGCTGTAACAGAGAAACCCTGTCTCGAACAAACAAACAATACAGTTGTATGTTAAGGATTTGATGGTTCTGTTACTGAAGAATCTGGCCTTGGGAATAACGAGAGCTTCCAGATGTGGACTAGGAAAGAATGTCCCCAATCTGCCACGAAAAGGTGAAATTCAGTGCCCAGAGTGGTGACATACAGGGGTGAGACATTGGGGAGGTCAGGAGAGCAGAGTGTGTGGAGGGGGAGAAGGGAGAGCCGAAGTGCGGAGAGAGAGAGAAGAGAAGGGGAGGGAAGGAGGAGGAGAACATGAGAGAACAGGATGGTTGAGATGAAGGAAGGACAGAGAGGGAGAGCAAGGAAAGAGGTAGCTTGATTGTGGGAGCCATTGTGGGGCTAGTGTGAAACCTGGCCCCAGGGAAATTCCCAGGAATCCTCAAGGATGACCCCAGCTAAGACCCTAAGCAATAGTGGAGAAGGTGCCTGAACTGGCCTTCCCTTGTAATCAGATTGATGAGTACCTTAATTTTCATCATAGAACCTTTATCCAGCAACTGATGGAAGTAGATGCAGAGATCCACAGCTAAGCACTGGGCTGAGCTTCTGGAGACCAGTTCAAGAGAGGAAGGAGCGATAATATGAGCAAAGGGTTCAAGATCATAATGGGGAAATCCATAGAAACAGCTGAGCTCAGCTAGTGGGAGCTCAGTGACTCTGGGCTAACAGTGAGAGACCTTGCAAAGGACCCAACTAGGCCCTCTGAATGTGGGTGAGAGATGTGTGGTTGGGGCAGTCTTTATGGCCACTGGCAGTGGGACCAGGATTTATTCCTAGTGTGTGAACTGGGTTTTTAGAACTCATTCTTTTTGGAGGGATACCTTGCTCAGCCTAAAAATAGAGGGGGAGGGCCTTGGTCCCACCTTAAAATGATGTGTCAGACTTTGTTGACTCCCCGTGGGAGCCTTACCCTTTCTGAGGAGTGGATTGGGGGTGGAGTGGGTGTTGTGCCCAGATTACAACCCTCAGAGAGAGATCACAAGAGAGGCCCAGGCTGTAATAAGCAAGGTTTAATCAGCATAATACAAACATGTTTGGAACTCATCTCCATCCCCGTTACAACAAGGTAGAGAGGAGTTGTAGCTCCTCTGTGGGGTAAGCTTTTAACTACAAAGAGACTCTTTGAAGCTGCTTTGGCTCAGGTGCAAAGACTTTTGCTCCCTCCCATTTTGCTAAGTCAGCTTTTTCCTTGTTCTTAGAGCAAGACCATTGTTTTCGAGTTAGGCCATCTTTATCAGCCTGTACCAGGTGGCTGGCTGGTCTGAGCTAAGTGACCCTGTGCTCAGAATCTCCCAGGTGGGAGAGGGGAAGGCTATTATCTTCCTGGGAAAATATTTTGCTAGAAAATTTCTGCGCGCCCCTTTGAGAATAAGGGGTGAGGGTCCTACAGTGGGGAGGTGGGGGGAGAGGGAGAAGGGGAGGGAGTAGGAACTGGGGTAGGTATGTAAGATGAGAAAAGATCATTAAAAATAAATGAATTAATAAAAAGCAATGAAATTAGTGCCTCATGAAAGTGGCCTGAGGGAAATTTCCATGCACCCTCACCCACCCACTACCCCATTCCCGCTACTATGAAGAATCAGTGAAACAGTCTATGATACCAAGAATGCTGAACAGACACCAAATCAGTAGTGTAAGTTCCAAGTCCCAGTCTCTGGACTCTGTCTTTGGAGGCCTTGTCCCTGTGCTCGCCAAGCCTTGACCCCTCCCCGGAGGAGAGTCAAGACAGCATTAAACCTGGATAGTTTTTAATTTGGCTTGTTGTGATTAGGCCTGATTGGTTTGCCTACAGAGTATTTGGTCTAGGGTAAGTCTAGGGCTTGAATGAATGTAGCCCGTGACTTTCAACTTGTCTGTTAATGCAGTCTTGTTTTACTCCTACATTTTGGGGTCAGGCGTATATTAACCACTTGGAAATTAAACACGTGTGAATTTTCAGTACTCACTGAAAAATTCCCTCCCAATACTATTCTACTTGTTTCTGTGTTTTATTATTTTCGTTTGCATCTTTGTATTTTTTAGTATATTTTCTAAATCCCCACGTCTTCACTCTGGAAGAGGGTATTTTTGTCTAGGCTGGCCCCCGACATTCCTATAATAGAAATGAAGACTGTCAGAATCAAAATGGAGTTGTGGTAACCAAAAAATAAATCTGAAAAGTTACAAAGAAAAAGGACTTATACTAAGGAATTGCTTGATAGAAACCATCACAAAAGATTACCAGGATCACAAGCTTACACAGAAGCCACTAGAATCTTATCCAAAAGGTGCTTTCGGCAAGCGAGTCTGTCTGATTTTCCACCCAAATTGAGGCCACTCTTCCTATTGTGGCAGAGGAGGAATGTTTCCAGAGTGATGATGCAATCTATCCTTACATCTTTAAACAGTCCCCTAGCTGGTACAGTAGCACATGCCTGGAATCCCAGCATTTAGAAGACAGAAGCAGGAGGATTGCTGAAAATTCAAGGCCAATCAGAGCTACATAGTGAGTTCCAGGGCATGTTGAACTGGATGTATAGTGAGACCCTGTCTCGATCAAACCAGCCAGGGATGGAGGCACATTACTGTGGTCCCATCACTTGGGAGGCTGAAGGAGGATTGGGAATCCAGAGTCATCTTCAGCTCTAGAGAAAGTTCGAGGCCAGCCTGTACTACATCAAACTCTAACTCAATAAAGCAAGCAAGCAACCAACCAGACAGAAAGATAAAGCGTCTTGTTGCAACATCCCTGAATATGCCCAGTTTGTATGACACGTGCATTCCCCTTGCAATGCTATTCTCCTCATTTTTCCTCTGCGACTTGATGACTTCTTTTAAACAGAGATGACATTTCTTTTGCACAGGATGCCTGCTGACCTTTTCCTTGATGCAGTTTTTACTGCTCTCTCTAGATTCCCTTTACATTCCTTCTTCAGCCACCTGGGCAGCGCACCATGCCCCATCCTTCTTCTCATACCCTCTAGGATCTCAAAAGCCACCCTAGCACCAACACTGAACAAGCTCTTCTCACAGCTGACTACATGTGCTGTGAGTCTTTGGCTTCATGAGATGGCTTACAAACTACTTACTGAATGATTAGCAGATGAAGATTTATAACCTTATGGTATTTATAGTCTAGTGGCAAGATAGATGCTGATGGACTCCAATGAAGAGGTTAAAAGTGAGTTAAGTGAGTTGGGGTTAGGGAGATGGCTCAGCCACTGAAGG